AGCCAGCGGGGCAGCTCAGTGGCCTGAGGGAACTGAACACGCCAAGCGTCGTTCAGACGAGCGAAGCAACGCTGTGTGGCGTGCGGTCCCCCACACGGCTGGCCAGTGCGGTCACCAGTGCGAATGACGTACGTGCAGCTAAGGCCACCCCCCCCCCCCCGTGCTGAGAGTACCACTCACGGACCTCGTGGGGCGACGGAGTGTGCTGCTGGCCCTGGCCACCGCCAGCGCCTCCACGACCACCACCGCCGCTACCACCTCCTCGACCACCCCAACCCCGGCCGCTGCCTCGTCCACCGCCACCCCCACCACCTCCTCCGCCCTGGCCACCTCCCCCGTCGCTGCTGCCACCCCCCCCACTGCTGCCACCTCCCCCACCCGCGCCACCCCCCCCGCTACCACCACCTCCCCCACCACCGCCACCCCCGCTGTCACCACCACCGCCCTTGCACACCTTGCCCTTGCCGCTGCGGCGCCCACTCGAAGCAGACGCAGTCCCGACCTTCTCATCACCAAGGAGGTCGACAGCAGCAGCAGAGGCGACAGAGGGAAGAAGGGGGGGGGGAGAACACCCCTCAAAGACCGGGGTACGGGGGTCACCGCGAGAGGCACCTACAGCGACTATGCTAGCCTCAGGTGCAAGCAGTTCCTTCTCGAGGAGGGCAATGGTGAGCTCGGTGGGGCAGCGAGCTAGGAAGTGGTCCCTGACTGAGCGCAGAGTGTCAGGGAGGCGCGTGACTTGGTGGTAGAGAGTGAGCCAGAGCGGGGGTGGGTTCTTGGCAAGGAACTCATCAGGCATAGCGGCGCGGAAGCGAGCCTCACTAGTGCGGAGGTGGGTAATGAGATCAGCGACAGTGTGGAAGGAAGCTAGGTCGGGGAACAGGTAGGGAAGAGAGAGACGGCCTAGAGCGGCAGAGGCCGGCGAGGAATAGCGGGCAACGACAGCAGTGTACAGTGCCTGTGCAGTCTTGTGCTGCCCAAAGTGCTCGCGCTTATCTATCGGCAGAGAGTTGCGAATAGCGAAGCGAGTATGGGCGTCACGAGTCTGCCACTGTGAGCGGGCAGTGCTGTCAGCAGTAGCAGCAGGAGCAGTAGCGTGGCCTAAGGCATGATCGTACAGCGAGATGTCTTCCTTGGCAATGAGCTATAGGAAGAGGTGTAGGTCATCAAGCCAGGTGTCGAACTTCACTAGGCGGCCCTCAGTATCGAAGGCTAGGACAGGAGGGCTAGCCATGGTAGCAGCAGTAGGAAAAGCAGTAGGAGCAATAGTGTAGGTAGGGCGGCGCGGCTTGGTACACGTAGGGCGGCGCGGCTCGGTATAGGTAGGGCGGCGCGGCTCGGTTCGGGCGGCTCGGGTCGGGCGGCGCGGCTCGGTTCGGGCGGCTTGGTTCGGGCGGCGCGGCTCGGTTCGGGCGGCTCGGGTTGGTTAGGGCTGGCGGCTCGGGTCGGGCGGCTCGGTTCCGTTAGGGCTGGGCGGCTCGGGTCGGCTCGGTTCGGGCTGCTCGGTCTGGGTGGGGCCGTTCGGGGCCGCTAAGGGCGAGCGCGGGGAGCGGGTGGGGCCGTGAGGGACGAGCGCGGGGCCGACGTGGGTGCTAAGGGCAAGCGCGGGGCCGACGTGGGTGCTAAGGGCGAGCGCGGGGCCTATCAGGCCGTGAGGGACGAGCGCGGGGCCGATCGGGGCCGTAAGGGACGAGCGCGCGGCCGACGTGGGCCTCTAAGGGCGAGCGCGGGGCCTATCGGGGCCGTGAGGGACGAGCGCGGGGCCGATCGGGGCCGGTAAGGACGAGCGCGGGGCCGACGCGGGCCTCTAGGGGTATGCGCGGGGCCGATTCGGGGCCTCTAAAAGCGAGCGCGGGGCCGACCGAGGCCTCTAGGTGCGAGAGCGCGGGGCCGACGGGGCCTCTAGGGGCGTGAAAGCCGAGGCGCCCTAGGGCGCAGGTAGGTAGGTAGGTAGGTATTGGTGGGCCCTAAAAAAATCGGTCCTAGGAAGGACCTGCTCTGATACCATGTTGAATAAGAATGGAATGAACTAAGAGTGAAATGAGTACAAGTATGAAAACCTAGAAATGTGTACCCCCTATAAGCTAACCCACTGTAGCCTAAACAACTACAACAACATATATAATTTTTGACAAGTTTCACTTGAGAAAGTTGACAACAATGGTACAAAGAAGTTGGCATGGCAAGACTACATCAGAGCTAGCATTCAGGTCGGCCGAGTGCCAGCGCAGCATGGTCGACCGCGTTCCAGCACGACTTGGTCGACCGCGCTCCAGCAGTGCAAAGTCGACGGCCTGCCAATGTCACAGGTTGATGGCGTGCCAGCATTGCTCCCGCAGAACAACAGCGCACCCGCTTCGCAGGTGCTTGCAGATGATTGGCGGGCTGAGCCTCGTCACCTGCACAACGCACACGCCAAGTCATCCTCGTGCTGACGACTCCACCTGATCCACCATGTCGGCCTCGAAATACCACCACCGAGGTCAGACTCGCCAACTTCGCCTGGGCGACCGTCGCACTCCTCTGCAGAACCTCGTCACCCAGGTAACCTGGTCGACCGGGCATCCACGTCGACCAGCTACTCCCGTATGTGCTCGTCGACCTCCCAAGTCGACGACCACCCCAAGTCAACCTCACGAGGTCGACCACGCCCCTGGTCGACCAACTCCAGGTCGACGTCATTTTTGGTCGACCAGCTCCACGTCGACCAGCACTCCTGGTCGACCAGCTCCATGTCGACCCGCAGTCTTGTCAGCCAACCACCCAAGTCGGCTGCTCCAAGTTGACGTCACCAAGTTGACGTCCTCCGCAGGTCGACATTCCTGAAGTCGGCGCCACCCTGAAGTCGGCGCCCGTGCAGTGGCCCCTGTGCAGGTCGAACTCCTCGTCAACCAGCTCGCCACTACTGCAGGTCGGCTGCTCCCATAACACCCGACCACGAAATCGGCTCCGCCCAAGCAAGGACAGGGCCAACACACAACTCCCGTTGACACTCCCCTGCCGCGTTCACGCTTGGACCCCCTTTGCCCACACGGTAGTACTCCTGGGAGAATAGCCCGTCGACGTGCACTCAAAACACAGCGCGTCGTCCACCGCACCAGCCATGGAAGAGGGCATGGCACCTACTGCTGCACTTCGTCAACTTTGTCGCCCACGTTGGCCAAGCGCACCTGGCCGATGGCGACGGAGCACCGATTGAAGGCCGGATAGTGCAGCGCCTTCGTCAGGAAGTCGGCTGGCTGCTCGGTGGTCGGGATGTACCTCAGCGAGAACTTCCCGCACCTCACCATGTGCTGCAGCCAGGCCTGACGCCGCTCCATGTGCTTGAGGTTGCCCGTCAACCCCATGCCCTCGGCGACCGTGATGGCTGACTTGTTGTCCACCCGAAGGACGGTCGGCTTCCCAGCATCCAGCTGCTTGAACTCTGCGAGGAGGAAACGAAGTCGGCATCCCTCCTTGCCGGCTTTGGTGGCCGCCAGATACTCCGACTCGGTCGACGACATCGTCGCGCATTTGATGCACTGGCTCGACCAAGAGACTGCGGCCCCTCCGTACATGAAGACGTAGCCACCCGTGCTCGCCCTGCTCTGCTTGTCACCAGCGTCGTCGACATCCACGTAGCCGACCAGCTCCAGCGACTCAGGTCCACCGCCGAACTCCAGGGCGGTGTCACGCGTATTGGCGAGGTTGGCGAGGTAGCGGTCGACCTTGCGCCAGTGCTGGTCGCTCCTCACCGTGAGGCCGCTCCCCAGCTGCAGGCGAAGGTGATGTCCGGCCTCGTCATCGTCGCCGCGAACTGCAGCGAGCCGACCTTCTGCCGGTACTCCTCCTGCTGTCGCTCCTGTGCCTCCTCGTCGTCGAAGGTGAGCTTGGCATAGTCGTCGACCAAGACCAGCGTCTTCGGGGTGCGCCCGGTCTGCTCCTCGTCAATGAAGCGCCTGCGCAGCTTGTCGGCGTAGCCTTGCTGATGCAGCCACAGCTTCCCCACCGACCTGTTACGGACGATCTCCAGCCCGAGGTACTTCTGCACCGGCGAGATCTCACGCAGCTCAAAGGCGGACTCTAGCAGCTCCTTCAGCTCCTTCAGCATCCCGGTGCTGCTGCTGGCGGCGAGTAGGTCGTCGACGTAGACCAGCACCCAACAGGCCACGTCGTCTTTGCCGACCTTGAATTAGAGAGCCTCGTCAACCTGACTCTTCTTCCACCCGGCGCCGACCAGTACGTCGTTGAGCGCCAAGAACCACAGCAGCGACGACTTCTTCAGTCCGTATAGGCTCTTCAACAGCTTTCACACCCGGCCGGTTCCGTCGTTGAAGTAGTCCGGCCGGGACATGTAGAGCACCCGGTCAAGCTTGCTCTGCAGGAAGGCGTTCTTCATGTCGAGCTACATCAGGTTGAGGTTGAGGACGGCGACGATGCTGAGGAAGATCCTCAGCGTGACGTAGCTGCCCACCGGCGTGAACGTCTCGTCGTAGTCGGCGCCGTACACCTACGTGAAGCCCTTCACGACCAGCCTCGCCTTCTCGCGCTCGACAGTGTTGTCGACGTGGTACTTCGTCGTCAACACCCACCGGTTCTTCATGGTGTTCACCCCCGGCGAGCGTTCGACCAGCTCCCAGGTGCCCATGTCGATGAGGCTGCGGATCTCCTCCTCCATGGCGGCCTTCACCGCCAGGCCCTTCCAGCTCGCCAACGCCTCCTTCACTGTCATTGTCGAGATGTGTCAGCGGTGCTCGGGGCCGGCCAGCATGTCGGGGTCGAGCTCCGAAAACTCCTCATCCTCCTCGGCGTCGTCGTACAGCAGGTTGTCGTCATCGTCCACGTCGTACACCGTGGTGAAGGCAGCGGGGACGAAGAAGTCCGGCGGCCTCTGAGGCCTATCCGACTTCCGGGGTTCAGGCCGGACCTCCACCATGTCACTCTCAGTGGACTCCCCGGCGTCCCCTCCTTCGTCACCGTCTTGACTACCCTCGTTGTCTTGCTGCACCTCGGTCAACTTCCTAGTCAACCTCTCTGCCATGGTCGGTGAGCAGAGGCAGAGGCAGCGTCGCCGGCGAGGTATCGGTCGGTGGGGTGGTCGGCGTCCGACCTGACACCTGCCCGTGCTCCGACTTCCGCACCTCCAGCGACATATCCTCGTAGAACACCATGTCCGACGTGGTGACCACCTGGTTGGCGTCGATGTCGAGGAGCTCCCAGCCCTTGCTCGCCATCGACACGCCGAGCTGAAGGCCCCACCTGGCCTTCGGCTTCAGCTTACCACCACGTTGCTGCTCGGGGACGAGGAACTGCGCCATGCAGCCCCACACCCGCGCCATCAACAAGTCGGGCTTCTGGCCAGCCAGCAGCTGGTACGGCGTCGTCCCCGGCGGCAGCGCCAACCTCTCCAGGCAGTTGCGGATCCATACAGCATGACGCAGAGCGAGGTGCCACCAGTGGTGCTGCACGCCCATGTGTAGCAGCATCGTCCGCACTGACTCCACCACCGTCCTCATCTCCCTCTCCACCATGCCGTTCTGCTACGGGGTGTACGGGCAGGTCAGGTCGTGGACGATCCCCTGTCCGTCCACGAAGTCGGTGAACTTCTTACCGAGAAACTCCCCTCCTCGGTCCGAGCGCAACATCAGCACCGACTTCTTCGTCTGCCTCTCCACAAACACCAGCCACTTCTGGAACTCCAGCAGCACATCCGACTTCTTGGCGACTGGCCTCACCCTCACGAAGCGGATCTTGCGGTCCTTCAGCAGCAAGAAGTACAGGCTGCCGTCCTCGGCAGCCACGCGGAACGGCCCGCACAGGTCGATGTGCACGACGGCCAGTACGTCGTCGGCGTCGGAGCCTTCGTCGAGGAAGGTGTGCCGCGCCAGCTTCCCGCTGACGCACGAGAAACACGGTGAGTCGGCGCCTGTCGCCGACTTGAGGTCCAGCCCAATGGCGACCTCGTTCTTCGCCGAGCTCCTGATGGTGTCCATGCCGACGTGCGCAAGTCTAGCATGCATCCTGTCCGGCGTCGACTTCGTTTTCTAGACGATCGCCCGCAGGGCCACAACCTCCGTCGTGGGCGACGTCGACCTCGTTGAGCAGGGACGCAGGTCGGTGCAGAGGACACGCCCGGAGTACGTCGCCCGACCGAGCACCATTCCTGCTGCAGAGACGAGCATCATTCCGTCTCCGTCCTCCTGCAGCTTCACGCCGTGCTCCTTCAGCTGGCCGGACGACAGCAGGTTTGCCCGCACACCCGGGACGTACAGCACGTCGGGGATGAGCACCTGCTTTCCGGCCTCCCCTTGTAGAGCGATTGTGCCGCGGCCCTGGACGTCCTACAGCGCCCCATTGAAGCCGCGCACGTGCTTGATGGGGCCGCTCGGCTGTAGGTCGACAAAGACTTCCTTAGTCCCCATCAGGTGGTGGGAGCAACCTCTGTCGAGCAGGACCACCGCCGGGTTTGCCTGCACACCTGCCGCCACCGCCTCTGTCACTGGATCGAATTCTCAATCGAAACTTTTCACTAAAACTGAATACAAGGCCTATTTATACTCAGAAAGTACAAGGATAAACGAGATAAAACGAACCTTCGGGAACACACCCTTCCCGATACTACAATCACAAGTGCGCATAAGCACGCAAGTCTATTGGCACTTGGGATTACGCCCAGATTTCACCGTATACACCACTGTCAGCGCTGTCGGTGCCGTATAATAGGTATGTCGGTGGGAAAAGTAGGAAATAAGAGAAATAAATAGAAGGCTCTAGAAAATAGAATAGTAGGCCGATTGAGATGAGATAAAGACCAAAATTAAGAGGAGAAAAGGGAGAATGGGATAACGGAAAAATATAATAGTGAGAAAATATTATAACGGGGACGTCCTCTCACACTTCCCCCCCTCAAAGCTGGGTGGTAGAAGTAACACCCTGCTAGACAAGGTAGTCCTGTAGAGGACGGCGGGCGTTATCCATGTCGTGTTCAGGTACTCAGGTATCCTCGGAAGGATCATAGCCTTTCCAACGAATCAAGAGCTCCAAGGTGCCGCTACGTCGTCGTCGGTGCGCCAGAACGGCTTCGACTTCGTACTCGGGTTCCCCATTAACGATCACTGGCAGTGGCGGCGGCGGCTGGCGACCTTTGAAGATTGTGTTTGGGTCCCGATAGGGCTTGAGAAGTTGAACATGGAAGGCATTGTGAATTCTCCAGGTAGCTGGTAAACGCAAGCGAAAGGTTACTTGAGTGACCTGCGCCTCGACGAGAAAAGGTCCGCAGAAGCGAGGTCGGAGCTTAGACGGAAGATGGCTAATGTCGAGATTGCGTGTATCCAGAAGCACTTGATCGCGAATCTTGATGGAATGATCGTTGCGACTCCGATCAGCGAGCTTCTTTTGTTGCTGCTGGATAGTCAGAAGACGTTTATGCGTGCGCTCCCACAATTGGTGCATAGTGGAAATGAATGTGAAAGGAATGAACAAGAATGGATTGACTAAGTCAGAGTTGGGTACAAATACAACCCTAGCAAACTGTACCCCATATGTGCTACCCCACTATAGCCTACAAACATGCATCAGCTATAATAATCTGACACACCCCCATAGGCAAAGTGGGGGAGAACAAGGGGTCACAAGACCAGTCAAGCAAAGCAAAGCAAAGCAAGCTCAGGGTGGGTCACAAAGTCACCACACAGTCCGAGCACAAGAGCAAGGCCAGAGGCCAGTTCACATGCAGGAGTACAGACATATATATAAAACTAGACAAGCAAGAGCAGGTATATATATGTCAAAGTACAAGTAAAGTCAAGAAGAGAGCAAGTGAGGCAAGACAGGTACAAGACCCAGCTGGGTACAAAAGCGCTGATGGTCGCAAGGCGCAAGTGCCTTGGTGAACACATCAGCAGTGTTGGCCTCAGAGGCCACGTAAGCAAGTCGCAACTGACCACGCTACTGCAGCTCACGAGCAAGGAAGTAGCGGAGAGCAATGTGCTTCGTTCTGTGCTCCAAGCGCTGCTCTCGACACAAGGCCAACATGGCCTTGTTGTCTACGTACAGCACTGGAGGAGAACGAGGCAGCTCTCCAAGGTCAGTCAGCAGGTAGGTGAGCCAGCGAAGCTCCTGTGCAGCCATGGCCCCGGCGTAGATCTCAGCCTCACAACTGGAGCCGAGAACCGAAGACGAGCGAGTAGACCGCCACGAGACAGAGCCGGAACCAAGGCTGAAGGTGTAACCCTGTGACGACCGCTGCGTAGCCTGGTCGTCAGCCCAAGAAGCGTCTGCGTGCCCAGTAAGGACCACTGGACTCCGCCCTCCAAGCACTAGCCCCATGCCCGACGTACTGCACAGGTAGCGCAATACCCTCTTCGCTGCAGCCATGTGCTCTGGTCGGTGTCTCCCAGGAGCAACATAGCGTGCAAGGATGCTCAGAGGGTATGCAAGGTCAGGTCGTGTGCAGGTCATCAGGTACATGAGGCAGCCAACAAGCTCTGCATACGGACCACTCGACTCTACGGACTCATCCGAAGGCAAAGCTGAGAGTGAGTGGCGAGTAGGCAGAGGAGTGGCCTGAGGCGAGGAGTACGTGAAGCCGAAGTGCTGAAGGACCTGCTGCACCATGTGTGACTGAGTCAGGGTAATGGTGCGGCGTGCTCTGTCCCGAGTGATCTGCAAGCCAAGGTAGCTGCGCAGTTCACCCAGGTCTGTGCACGTGTGTCTCTTCAGCAGCTCGGACTTCACGTAGGCGAGTCCAGCAGTGTCCGCTGTGGCAAAGACCAAGTCGTCAACGTACACGAGGATGTAGAACGGCGGCAGGGAAGTGTCGGTGCGAAGAAACAGCGACGGGTCAGCAGTAGAAGGAGCAAACCCAAGAGCCGCAAGCGTAGTCCTCAGTGTGTCGTGCCACTCACGCGGTGCCTGGCGGAGACCGTAGACTGGCCGTCGGAGGCTCCACTGGGTGCCAGGAGGGAAAGTCCCAGTGAAGCCAGGCGGACGGCGCAGCCAGATCTCCTCGTGCAGGCTACCCTGCAGGAACGCAGTGCTGAAGTCGAGAGAGTGAAGGTCGTAGTCGCGCTGAGCGGCAATGTGCAGCAGCACCCGAAGAGTGGTCATCTTCGGGGTGGGAGAGAAGGTCTGAAAGTAGTCAACTCCCTGCCGCTGACTGAAGACACGAGCCACGTAGCGCGCCTTGAAGACAGGCGGCGAGCACGGCGGCCGCTTCACCCTGAAGATCCACATGCCACTGACGATGTTCGCCCCAGGAGGGGGAACCGCGTCAACGTAGGTGCCTGTGGACTTCCAGGAAGCCATCTCTGCATCCATAGCTGCCTGCCACTGAGAGGAGTAGGGACCCTCTACGGCCTCCGCGTAAGAACGCGGAGTCGGGATGTCTAGTGCATCCGGGTCTCCCTCAGAGGCTAGCAGTACAGACGCGAGACGAGGTGAAGCAGCGGCTAGACACTGGAACTCCTCCTGCCTGTCCTCTAGGACGTCCGTGCCAAGGGCACACTCACCCCCAACGGACGTAGGACAGGCGGACTCTGACTCAGCGACAAGACGAGCAGCGTAGTCTAGACGACAGCGCGCAGCAAAGTCGACAAGCTCAGTGACAAGGGCAGACGCAGCAGACGACTCGAAGGAAGGGTCAGTGACAGCAGTAGCAAGGAGACGCGTGACAGTAGGACTGGCAGCACGAAGAGAGTCCGACTCCGGGTCGGCAAGAGCAGGAAGAGAGGAAGCAGGAGGAGAAGGCAAAGGGGCACGCAGAGGAGCAGTGGACGGTCGCAGTGACATCCGGTGCGTGCCAGGGACAGGAGGAGGACGCTGACGCGACCCGCGACCACTAGCGCGCTCAGTACGAACAGGCGACGCAGGACGAGACGCAGGCTCAGGACGCTCAGTAAGGCCTCCAGTCGGACCAGCGTAGGGAGAAGGAGCAGGCAAAGGGGAGGCAGGCTCTAGCTGTGGCTGTGACTGGACAGGCTGCGGACCCTCTAAGGGAGGAGGAGGAGGAGCAAGACCAAGAACCTGCTCCAGGAGCGGAACGAAGTACGGTCGAGACCGCGCGGCGACGCCAGAAACAGCAGGAACAGAACCAGCAGCTCTGGCCGGAGCACCCACTCCAGCAGCACCTCCAGCAGAACCACCAGAAGCTCCAGAACTTCCAGCAGCAGCACCAGGAGCACCGTCAGTCGGACCACCAACCGCAGGCTCAGCGCCAACGTCCTCAGCAGGACCAGCTCCAGGAGAACCCTCAGACCCAGCAGCTCCAGCACCCACAGGACGAGCACCGCCAGGTCGCGTGGCAGCAGCGCCCTCCGCAGCCGAAGAACCACCAGCACCAGCGGCACGCCTCCAGCGCCGGGCAAACCACTCACGCAGCTCCTGTGGAGAGAGCGGCTCCCGGCGAGATGAAGCACCCCCAGGCACAGCATCTCCAGGCTCGGCACCTCCAGGCTCAGCACCCCCAGGCTCAGCACCCCCAGGCTCAGTACCCCCAGACACAGCACCCCCAGGCACAGCACCCCCAGGCTCAGCACCCCCAGGCACAGCACCCCCAGGCTCAGCACCCCCAGGCCCAGCACCCCCAGACTCCGCACCCCCAGGCTCAGCACCCCTAGACTCCGCACCCCCAGGCTCAGCTCCCGCAGCAGCACCAGAGTCACCAGTGACCTCGACAGGCTCGACCGCGTCTACCTGAGACACACCTGAAGGGGCAGGACCCTGAGGGGGGAGGGGGACTACCGGGGGGGGGACCTGGTACCAAGAAGAGCGGGGGTGGGGGGAGGGACGGAGTGCGGTAGGGGAAGAGGCGGTAGTAGGGTACCGACTCGTCGAACGTGACGTCCTGGGAGGACAGAACACGTCGAGAGGTGGGGTGGTAAAACTGCCACCCAGGGGCGTCGGGGGGGAACCCGAGGAAGACGCAGGGAGAAGCACGAGGGGACAGCTTGTCCGCAGACAGGTCGCGAACAAACGCCCGAGATCCCCAGACCCGGAACGCCGACGCATCGCCAACCTTCCC